ACACTGTTGTACTGACAAGATATTAGTTACTCCGATTCGATTGTCAAAAATCTCACCTATACATTTTCATAAGTTGCAGCTTTTTCTTTCCTTCAAAGTCAACACCTAACATCATCTTCCGTGTCAGACCGCAAGTACCATCTGCTCCTACGACAACATCACAATTTAGACATTCCCCTGACTCGAGTACTATCCTTGCAACAATTGGATCGGCGTCTATTGCATGAGCAGAGAAGCGAACAGAAGCGCCGCAGTGCAGGGCAGTCTCATATAAAAGCCTTCGTAGGTCTGCATACTGCATTTTTGAATACCATTAAGAGATATTTGGCAGGCCTGTTACAGAACTCACTTGCACAAACGCAAAATCTGCTTCCAATTCTCTCATAACCTCGTCTTGCCAACGATATTTCCCCAGGTATTCTTCTGATTCGACTGCATTGTCGCTCATCATCAGACCTTTAGTACAAAACAACAAAGAAGGTGATTATTTACACAACATCAAGCTTGTGCCCTTCGATCGAACGGAGACTTGGCGGATCTTATCTCGAAGACCCCACTGATATAGAATTCTAATCATGTTGGGAGACATCCGGCATCCACCTTTGGCCTGAAGCAACATGGTCAGTGGACGGGCAACCCAAACTATATGATAAAACGTACAGCATCATTGAATCTAGCTTCCCTCTCGAGTACTAGAACCTGGTGGCCTACCTTGCACAACGCTATCGCCGTAGATAACCCGGCGATCCCAGCACCGATGACCACGAATTTGAGTGGTAAAACTCCCTTCCTTTGGAACGCACATTTCTCCTCCACAAGAACAATCAACAAGTGGTTTGATTCGTACATGCTGTGAATAGCTCACCTGTCTCACTGTCATCGTTTCTGAAGCCTTTCTCCGATGCGGAGGGACATAGCTCGTTACTTATACTGGAGCTGGACCAGAATTTCAAATCAGTTTCCACATACGTATTCCTTGCTTAATCAATCGTCATTCAGATTTTAATTTCTTGGATATGGTGAACTAAAGAGGCAGTTTTGAATGGGATAGGCTACGTTTCTGCTGCCGAAAAGGGAAGTTGAATTTAGCCAAGAATTCCATACTTGGATAACAGAAGTCGGAATGGTCGGAATGGCGGGTCCGATGATAGACAGTCAGAACTTCACTAGGGTCGAATAAAGTTGCTGGCGTTAACCGCAAACCGGGAAGCAGATCATTTCATTTTCAACCAAAGAACCAGAACCTTGACCCAAAAAATTCAACTATCGAAAGTTTTTTGGACATAATTTTTCAAGATTTCAGGTTCGGATGGATGACTGTGACAGGATCGCGAGGAATCAGGCGGTGATGTGTTGCTGCCACAAATTAATCACGTTAACCATGATTAGAATCCCAATATCAGGTAGCTCCGAGATTTACTCAATTCTTTTTCTAGCCTCAGATCATCATTGGCCATCAAACGACTGGAAATACTACCGTCGGTGAGAGCTTCTTGCGAAATATCCTAGGATTTTGCTCCTCTTTTTGTGTTTGAATGGTACGCAAAGGAAGATGAACTGACAACTTAATTGACCATGGCTCTGGTGAAGGTTTGTATTTCCCTTAAAAGCGAGTAATGATACGAATGTGCATCCCTATAGTGAGGGATAAATGAGCGTGCATGTGAGCACGATGGTGATGCATGGTGTTTGCAGGATCTGGTATCCGCTTCAAGTTTACAGGCGCTTGATCGTTCGACATAACAGTGGTTCTAGCGTCTGGTGGTGTTAGACGAAAGACATTTTGAAGTACAATTTGCATCAAATGGGTAATTGACAAAATCACTGGTGGGTCCTTCCTTGATCTAACTAAAAAGATAAAGTTCGTACTCACTAACTAGGTTTAAAACATCTGTGGCGCTATTGAATAACCGAAGGAAGGGATACTTCACATGTACCTTTCCGAGCTCGCCGACAGAAGAGAAAGCTGGCTGTTCTCACCAATTTCTTACTGACTTTGGTGGCCAATGTTCTGCGGGTCTGAATACGGGTACAAGTCCCGTGTTCGCACGTCATTCCCACTACGGGTCCGATGGCACAAAAGAGATAAAACGAGATGAATTTTCCATCCTGTAGTTTGATAAACTGTTAAATTTGACTCATCTTCAAGCCTTGAACCAGGTAGGCTACTCGGGTTACCGGAAGACTCAGACTGATCGACTAGGTCCCTGTGAAGCCGTAGTGGCGCAGTTTTTTTATTTCATGCCGAACCCGCCCTGATTTACGCGGTAGGGAACGAGCGTAATCGAAATTTACGTTTGACGCCGCCATTACTGGTGGCACGGGGCTGGCGCGATGGAGTATTCGTTGGGAGAAACAACCTGGGTTTTCATGTCATATAGTACGCAATTCCTCACCCGTGGCTGAAACGCGCCTGATGTTTAACTTCTGCAGGCTGAGACAAACTACTAACAGTCGGTACTCATATCGTAGTGCGTTCGGTGTTTTATTTGGAATTTTATTTATCACATCTTAGTTGGGGCAAGAACTTGGAATGTTGGCTTTGTAGGCTCCATCGTAAAACATAACCCTCCCCTCAGAAACTAAGAGACGCAGCACGGTTGCAAGCTCGCCGAAATTTGTCGTGGCTATACAGCTCAAATGCTGGAACGAATCGGGTTATCAAACCTTAAAATTTGCATGCAGTAGTTCGAGGAAATCAGTGCGAACTGAGGGGTTCAGGCTCGTTACAGTTCAGCTCGTGGTTTCCCGATCGTCGGTTGAATCCGAAGGCGACAAAAGTGAAGCGAATCGCGCCTGTCGAATCATTCATTCGGAAGCCGGGTAGAGAATAGCAAAATCTTTCTATATTATCGTTGGTCCTGGGATTTGTATGTTATATATAAAACGAGCTGACTTGCAGTCAGACTCAGAGTCTGCCTCATTCATCATATGAGCACTCATAAAATGATCCACATATTCATTATGGTCGTGTTCGTCCTTTTTTGAAGGCAGTCGGACCCGCATAAATTCTGACAAAAATTCTAGGGATGCTAATCCCCGCCGAATTTCAAAAGCAACATGACAAATTATGAAGACCTTCCAGTTGGGTACTGCCGTCCCAAGTTCGAGGGATAACATGGCCGATTCAGTTCGGTGGCGCAGATTAGATTTGACACACCTCCGAGTCAGCAATGTTTTCTTATACAACCTCGCCATTCGCATGAGATCGACTTCGGAAACAACGTGATGGCATCTAGAGGCCTGCTTCAAGCGCTTCGAGACGCGATCTGATCCAGTTCATAAGTTATTACCCATGCAAACCTTGAACCACCCGCGTATCGAAGATCAGATGACTGGCTCGAACTTGTAAAAAACTTAGATACTGTGTCACTGAAATTCCGAATTGAAACCTAGCTACTTGGTTGTATGGAATATTGAGAACCAACGGCTCTCTCAGATTTGATTATACTAATATACTTAACTCCCAGCGGATTGCAAGTGTCTGTAGTTAGTCACGGTGCTGCCTGTATGAACTTGCTTTGTCTGGTCGAGTCTGGTAAAAATAGGGTTCCCAGCAGCCTGGTTCAAATCTTAGGGTGTCCTTGGAAGCTTTCAAATTCTCAGCTTAGTGACGATTCACGAGATTGAAGACAACTTAACAAATAGCCAAGTTGTTCTAAACCTTATTCTTTGGATCCTTGATTAGATTCTAACTTCTTTCAATGTGCGGCTGCAGAAGATAGCTGTAAGATGGCCCCAAGCAAGCAAAATCAGGGCGAAAGTGGTCCGTGGCAACCTCGGATCCTCAATTCGGCCACAACACGCTCTCTTCATTTTGCAGAAAGGCGTGTAACCTCACTGAATGTGAAAACATTTGGTTCACAATTCCCCAGTGGTACAACGAGCCATTCAAGTGCTGTGGTCGGAGTTTTTGACCAAGTCGATCTAGGTGGCGCAGATTTGTGCCAGTCATTCCTCGGTTGTCACTGGGCACGCCAAGCTTCTTCTGGACTCTTGATCAACCCCAAGTGATAGCAGCAATATCAACATCCTTTCAAATTCAAATTTTGAACCCTGGATCATTGTGATTCGGAGCTGGCGAAGAATATAGTAACTACATACATTTCAATTTCCCAGAAAAAAAGTGAGCCAGTTTGGATATAAAAGATTGTTAGGAGCACAACTCGGAGGTATGCAATTGACTAAACCTTAGGTATCAGCGCAAACTACAAGCCTATCTACTGTACTTATTCAGCGTCGTGAATAAGTCGGTCGAACCACTGCGGTTTGCAAGGTTCGTTTACTTATTTGTGCTGATATTCGATACAGTACCAGAGCCGACCCCAAGCGTTACAGAGATAGAATCTGGTCCTGAAATAGTCCTTCAATCAAGTACTTTTTTGATGCCAATAATTCATTCTCACCGGCAGGCTGTGGCATGGTTTGACAATAACAAGGTTTGGCTGTCAGTAAGAGCCTCGAGCTTCTTTACAGCCTGAGTGCTCCCGTGCTTCACGTTACATTGTAGACTTCGAAAAAGGCTCCTCGATCCAAAACTCAATCTTCTCGCCATTTCGCTTGAGTCGGTGGCCACTTTATTCCAGATTTGATTTGATGGAGAAATTTGGGGTGACTATACGCTAGGTGGCCTCATCGGCTAGACTGCATGACAAGCGTGAAGGGATAGAATGGACATTAGAAGGAAGCAAGAAATCACGATTGTTGTATTTTTCCAATGGCTTGAACCGTATGTGAAGTTAATCTCCGCCTCCGAATTGGGCTTTCAATAATGGTGTATTTTCTCAGAGTGAACCGAGCCAAGTCTTTTACGCTCAGATCGACATCGTTCTGCAATTCGAGAGGAGTTTCTATCAGCTTAAGTTTAAAATGCGTAGATAATTCGATGTTTATGCAGCCCTGTTAGCCGGTCGAATTGCAATACGCCTGTAGCTTTCTCCTTGGTGTAGATTCTGGTCGCCGGTAGATCTTTGAATATGAAAATTGACTAGTGATATAACTCCCTGGTAGTATATCGGTTAGTACACGCGCCTGTCAATAGCTGCTAACGCGCGAAAGCTGGGTTCGACTCCCAGCCAGGGAGATGGATAGTGCTTCGGTTTTCGTTTTTTCTGAGAAAAACATTCTTTTTGTCATAGTTTCAAGTTTTTGGACCTTTACATTTAAATCTTGTTTGTACGAAGAGAAATGGTATGAAGATCCCTAAAGTAGTAAGAATACATTTTTGATAATTTATTTATCTTCCAATCCCTACAATCTAGCCGGCCCTAGTCATTGCCCCAAAGCAATCTTGATCGCAGCCTCGAAATCAGCAATGATATCCTTGATATCTTCAATACCAACCGACACCCGAATCAAATCCCCAGTAACACCTGCTGCCTTTTGCTCTTCTTCCGTCAGCTGGGCATGCGTGGTGCTTGCAGGGTGAATAACAAGTGTCTTGGCATCACCGACGTTGGCAAGGTTGGAAGCGAGTTTGAGAGAGTCGACAACTTTGGAAGCTTGAGTAGCATCACCCTTGATTCCAAAGGACAAGACACCGCCAAAGACGCCTGGTCTCAGCAGTTGGGTGGCGAATTTGTGAGAGTCGTGAGATGGAAGGCCGAGGTAGGATACCCAGGCGATTTTGGGATTGGCTTCTAACCATCTGTGTGCGATGAACAAACGTTAGTGCAGTGCGACCAATCTTTTATGCGACAACGTACTTGGCCAGCTCAAGGGCATTCTTTGAATGCCTCTCTCCCCTCAAACTGAGGGTCTCGAGACCCTGAAGGAGAAGGAAAGCGGCGAATGGATTCATGCAGGGGCCAATGTCACGGAGAAGCTCAACCCTGACTTTGATACCAAACGCGGCCTTGCCTAGATCCATAAATTTGAGCCCGTGGTAGCCTTCTGAGGGTTGGGTGAAGCCGGGGAATTTGGACGAGTTCCAGTTGAATTTGCCTGTGAAGGCAGGTTGGCATGATGTTTTCCATGAAAGTAAGAAGTGAATGTACCTCCGTCAACGATGACTCCACCAATCGTCGTTCCGTGTCCACCAATCCATTTTGTTGCAGAGTGAACTGCAAAGGTGTCAGCTTGAAGCTGAAGGAAGCAAAGGATTGGTCACATACCAACGATATCCGCACCCAAGTCTATTGGCTTGACGAGGTATCCTCCCATGCCAAAGGTATTGTCGACAATAAGTGGAATGCCGTGGTCGTGCGCGATCTGATATGCATATTTAACAATCATGACCTAAAGGCTTGGTTGGCAACAAAGCACACCTTGGCCAAAGCGGGAATATCCATGACCTTGTATTTGGGGTTTGCAATACTCTCGATGTAAATTGCCTTTGTCTTCTCATCAATGGCAGCAGCAAAAGACTCGGCCGAATCGTCGGTGACCCATTTGACGTTGATAGCGTATTTTTTGAGGGTGACTGCATACGGCCAACTCAGTTCTGGGTATAGTCGAGACCTGAGGAATTGAAAACACACCTTTGAATTGGTTGTAGGTTCCTCCATAAAGATATGAACTCGAAACAATGTTATCTCCAGCTTCCGTGATTGCTGAAATAGCCAAGAATTGGGCTGATTGACCAGAAGCGGTGGCAACTGCACCAATACCGCCTTCGAGTTGGGCAATACGGTTCTCAAAGACATCTACGGTAGGGTTGCCAATACGGGAATAGATGAAGCCAGGGGCTCTGAAGAAATACGCGTCAGATGTTCTGTAGGAATAATACGGAAAAAGACGAACTTGAGGTCGAAGAGGTCGGCACCATGAGCAGAGTCATTGAATACAAAGGAAGTAGATGCGTAAACAGGTACTGCGCGGGCCTATCAATCAGATAGTTAATCACCGGCCAGCCTCGAATGGAAATGGAGATTGCGTACGTTGGTAGTGGGGTCGGGAACCTGACCTCCATGGATCTGAATGGTATCAAATTCGGGCGCTTTGTAGAACTGTTGGTCGGCCATCGCTACTGTCGGGGAAAGAAAATAGAGTGGGGAAGATGGATAATTGATATGGATTTGACCAAGTGACCTTTTATTTAAGACGAGAATTTCAGAACGCAAATTATGGCGTGCTCACCAGAACCGCCAAAGATCACGCCATCTTCATCCCAAACATGCAATTAATCCGGATATCGATAGCGTCCATATTTGCCTTTGCCTTTTGACCTCGTCCGAAAAGTTTGAGCTCGCATTTGGTGTTTGGAAATGACGATGGTGCAGTTGAAAGGTCTGCGCGTTTCACACGCGTCGACGCGTCTTGGCCTTGATCCCATACCTTTTCTTGAGATGACCAGCTTTTTTGCACCTTCACTTCCAGGCTTTCGCTTCCCACAAGCATCAGCTTCGTTGTTTTGCGTGAGTTGGCTTGACCATTCTTTGTGCGAGTCAGCTGAATCGGATCTGGGCTGAGTCGGATGACACGAGAACTGCCGAGGTCGATGGTGAGCTGATACCATGAGTGAAGGTAGTCTAGAGAACTGACTCGCTATATACGGGACAGAAAAGGTGCCGTTACTTGCTTAAATGGGCGTGTAAACTGGCCCGTCTGATGCGACGTTTTTGGACCCACTTGCGGAGATTTTTACCTCAGGGTGTGCATTTCCAGTGTAGCAAGTCCTTAACCAGCACGTTGTCACTATGGTCACCATCAAGTACTAGAATATAATTATAAAGTATGCATGCCATGGACCCTAGCGCTCTAAAGCAATTCCAAGATCTAAAGACATATTTATCGATGCATACATTGGCTACATTATAACACGAATCTCAAGCAAAAAGGAACGTGTGATCCACCAAAACTTATCTTTGTCAGGTTTGCTATCACGTCTACTTATCTGTTTCACCAACAGCGCTCGTCCACCTCCTTCTAGGTCCTTGAGAACTCTGTCCTCGCCACGACAATCCCGATTCCCGTCCATGTAATATGGTACCTGGATGTCAGTGCACTGCGGTCCCGCCCTAATATTTGAAAAATATACACCACCAAGATCAAAGCCTACTATCACTACAAATACTTCACCATCAGCAAGCTTACATTCATAAGCCAGAGCAGTGCCGGACAGATCTGATACGGTAGGACATGGCGTCGTGACTTCGTATGCTAGGACATCTGGCCATTCATTGTCTGAGCCAGAATATGGATACGACATCATGGAAGCAGGGAATAGTCTTTTTACGCCAACAATTTCTCTAAAGGATGGCAGCAGTCGGAGCTCAAAGATGCTAAGTCTTGTATCAACAAGAGGACGAAGGGGCAGGTCGTTTTGCTTTACAAAAATTTCCTGCAAGGTCCCTAATTCAGGTGTGAGGTGATGAAACAAAGGCCTATGTGTCCAACATCGCTGGTATTGATGTTCACTAAGCTTGCGGACATAAATTGCCACTTCCTGAGCCTTCTCGTTTTTACAATTGAGAAAAGCAAGAAAAATATCTGTGGATCCATCTACCTTCATCAAAGGCAGGTGGATGTGAAGGCCGTTATTTGTCAGAGAGTAAGAAGACAAGCCGCCCATCGAAACATCAGATGCACCGATGCCCCCAGAATCATCAAATGCAAGAGGCGACGAGGCAAAGAAACCAGTGTGTTGAGTACCATCAAGTTCTTTCCAGGCAAAGATACTGCGGTCATCCGAACGTTTAATGATTTCCTGCTGAAGGCGCAAAAATGCATTCTCTTCGCCTTCCCCATATATTGGTGGCATATTCACTCCAAACATTCCCATCAGTGAATACGCCCTATCTTCCTTCCGAGTTGTTTCCCTCCGTGCAGCCCACGACATTTTCTGAGCAATGCTGAGATTGCTCATATCACCGGTCAACAAGACGTTGATCGGAATACCAGTGATGGCGCTGACAACGTCTCGTCGACTCCACTTTGAGCCCAAGTGCACCCAGTGTTTGTCAAAGAATTCGACATGGATGGGTGCTAAAAGCTCCTGGAGCGTCCAACCCCGAATAAACCATCTACTTTTCCAGAACAACACATCCGTTGATGCGTTCAGAGTGTATTCCCATTCACCGCTTTCGACATCACTCAGATACGCGTAACATGCCCCGGCGCGCTCGTAGTACATGTACATCGAGTTGATTGCTTCCGAGAGCTCAGCGCTACTCTCTTTATTAATGCAGCAAGAGTCGATCCAGATCCAGTCGAAACCGTACTCGGATGCTCGTTTGCAAGCACCCGTCACCTTCTGGTGACCCTTTCTCCCAAGTAAGGTTGCTTTGGGGCCATGAAGATCTTGGAAAAGCACTTCATCTTCTTCCCAAATATGAGAGAGAACCGCGTATTCTGGAATATCCGTGATGAACAACTTGACCTCTAACGTAGACGTATCAAGGAGACGCATCACATTGGCTATCTATAGCTGAAGATAAGTGTTATTTTGACAGCAAGAGAGGTTGAGCTACGTACCTCGTAGACGAAAACAGCCCTGGGAGATCGCGTGATTGGACCCTTGCTGAGTTGAATGACTCGGATGCGCAATGAGTTTACAAATTTGCGTTGCACTCCCCAATTGATAAAACGGCCCGGCTCCATCATGATATGGATACGTGGTCCCGAAGCCGGGGAGCAAGGTACTTGAAGGCTACTCCGCAAGTCATAATGGAGACTAAATAAGATACAAATACGAATATAAAAGTAATCCCTGGCATCGAGGGAAAGAAGGATCGTAGAGAGGCGCCGAATGGTAGGTGTTCCCTGCGTAAAGAAAAATACGGACTTAGTAAGTGATGGCATGCGTGGTTACAGCTAAATTCGGTACATAAGGCGCGGCCAATTTTTTCGCGCGCGTCAAAGTTCTGACCAATCTTCCAGGTCAATCTTCCGAACCAATCTTCCGAGTGCAAATCAGTGCTCCGTGTACTCAAAATACAACTTTCTTTTGGAAAAATAGTCAATATGTACTGGCATTGTAATAAGACATAGTATCTTAGGTCAACAATGAGCGGAGTGAAATATCGAGTGACAACCAATTTGTCTGTTTTTCGACAACTTAACCTGTCCAACCATTGCGCGTCAGCCATGGTTAAGACTCGCACTTACAACATAAGGTCAACTCCCGACAGAGGTTCTTCACCA